CTAGGTGAAATCTCCTGGACCGGTACCAGCTGCTCCTGGAAACCCCATACAGGGTCGCTATGAGTCGGAGTCGATGACATTTAACAACATAATGGAAGGGAAACTAAATTTCTAAACCATCGGTGTTTGAAGGAGAGAAGCATCCCCCGCCCCATGCCGTGGTATGGTGGGCCACGCGGGTAAAAATGAGGTGAGCAGACAAGAAAAGTGGGAGGCGGGAGGCTCGGCGCTGTCCCTTGCGGCGCCTGGACGGGCTGAGCACCCGGAGGCCTGGCCCATGGGAGCGCAGAGGTGAGCGACTGCCCAGAGAAGGCTCGCGCAGAGGAAGCCAGCTCGAAGAAGAAGGACTGGCTAGAGCCCCGCGGGGAGGAGCTGCGCGGGACTTCAGGTAGGACCCAAACTGGAGAGTGGAGGGAGCGTTGCTGGGAAGAGTGTGCCGTTTGCCTTACTGGAAATGAGCTGGATCAGGTTCCAGATCAATGAAATCTGGGTCCACACGTTTACGTTATTGTTGCCAGCATTAATGCTCTTTTAATCTTCTAAACATTATCAGCATCGATCTCCCTCCATATGCACATTTGTTTGAGAAAGTGACATAACCACACGGTGGAAAGCCTGGAATAAAAAGAAATGCGCAGCCTCCGGAGCTCCCGTGCACCAAGTCCTAACTATGAGGGGGTCCTGAAGGCTCTCGGGCCTAGACGAAGCTAGGTCAGAAGTAGTGAGCATTTTCATGATTAATCTGACCAGCCCTTCAAGACAAAACATCTCCTGTTACGTCGTGGTTTGCTGTAGACCTCAAGAGCTAAAGAGCTTGGATCATGAACTAAGCCTCCGCGGACAGGTGACCGGTCGGGGAAACACAGGCCAGAGCCGGGTGCTGCGTTGGAGGTCCCTTTCCCTGTCCTGCCGAGGTACTCATGGTCCCCAGGAGCCCTAGGATGTCCCCTGTGTCGGAGACATGTACACTTGGTGCCCGTCAGGACCCTCTTTCAGTGTGGCCCCAGTGGTGTTTCCTGCTACAGATGGCAGGTAACCTAGGAGACCTATGACAAGTTGGTTAAGACTGGTGGCTGGGAGCTACTGCTGGACCACGACTTAAAGGAGGCCCCAAGCTGGTAGGAACGTAATGGGGGGAAGGGGTCTGCTCAATCTTCCAGGTTTGAAGACCACCCTGGTCACCAAGGTTTCAATTTTCCTTCCCAGGCGCGTCCCTCCCAGTTCTGGCCTTAGTTCCCTGGATCCTCCTTGTGCTTAATTCAGAGGACTCATGGGGTGAAACCTGGAAGGTAGCTGTGCTCAAAACTGCTGGGATTTGTCTTCCCTATCTCTTATAAGGTGACTCAAAATCCTTCTGGCTGGCCAACCTAGGGGACTGCCCAGGAGGTCTGACTGGGCCCAGTTGCAACCACTTCCAGACCGCAAAGCCCTTCCTGATCAGTCATGCACTTGAAGTCTGTTTATACTACATTTTCTGCAAGAGTTGCTCTCCCTGAAATACCATCTCAAGACTGTAGGTACAGCTGGCTTAAGTCATCTGAGGGGAAAGCCCCGGCATCGGCATCGTGGGGAGCAGACAGAGAAAGGATGGGTCCAAGTTGGTTTAGAAGGAAGTTTGCAAATCAGGCATCTTAGTTCTGTGGTTTAGTTCTGGGCTTCCAGAAGCACCCAAAGGAGGGATTGGAAGGTGAAGGCATAGGGAACAGTCCGTGGAGGATGTGGGAGCTTGTTTAACCTCCTTGGGGGCCCATGAGGGCTTGGGGAGGGGGGGTGAGCACTGTCCAGAGGGATTCCAATCAATATTCCTGGCAGGGAAGGCCTCTACTTTTCTTCTCCATTTGCTCCAGTTCCCTAGTGCTCCTGAGCACATAATACCTACTTACCAGGCCCAGCTTCTGCGCCAGTGTCTGAAGAGACTGATCTACTGACCCCAAACTGAAAAGCCTCCTATGTAATAATAACCACTCAACACACTTGTAGTTGCTGATAAAATGGTTAGATAAAATGGCTAAAGCTCTTGTCCCTTTTCAACTTGGGGTAATAAAACAGACACACATTTGAATGCTTGAACAAAGTGGGGTCAGGAATTCAGCAGGGATTTCCCATTCCCTGGGGGAGGCTTTAAAGAGAGTCCTGGTGGCACAATGATTCAAGGCCATCACTGAAAGGTCAGAGGTTCAAACCCACCAGCTGATCTGCAGGAGAAAGATTTGACAGTCTGTTTCCTAAAGACGACAACC